TAAAGGAGTTCTTGCAGTTCTGTGTGCATCTAATCAAAAACAGGAAGGTTCCAGTTTATTATCTTTGTGTTTCCAGAGGTGGGCAGCACAGACACAGAGCAGCGTCTCCAGGATCCGACTGTTTGTCTATGAAGAGTGACTCCTCCAGGAAAGACCCTCTATACTTCAGTAATCAACCCGGACCCTCACACACAAAGTAAGAAACCACTTCTTCTGAGAACAGACCTGATGGTTAACTTTCAGAGCGAAGAACAACGCTTTCTTAAGCAGAACTATTTGATCAGATGTAACGCTCTATTATTGATTAGTTATGAATTATTAAATCAACATTCGAGTTGTACTAAAGAAATCCTGAACTTTAGTCCAGTTAATCTGATTCTGACACAATAAGAGCAATTTGTGATTTATTCTACATTCGTGCACAGACACAGAGCGGCATCTCCAGTATCCGACTGTTTGTCTATGAAGAGTGACATATCCAGAGATGCCCCTCCAGACTTAAGGAATCAACCCGGACCCTCACACACAGAGTAAGAGACCACTTCTTCTCTAAATAGTTGTTAATGTCAATTACAACACAGAGCTGTTGACATGTATTTGTCCATTGTCCAATCGTATTAGCAAACTGTCTAAACTTTTACTTTTATAGAGATGTTCACATTTGATTATTCAATGAAGCGCATTTTTTTGGAAGCCCCTGGATGATACGTACCCTCTTAATCCCTATGGAAGCAGTAAGGGTGCACTTAGATTTTCAAAGGTCCTGTGAAAACATTTTTTTTTTTATTGTTATTGTGTACATGAAGCAGAATACAATTCACTTATGTCTCCAAGACATAAAGGCCTGAATGTAACTTTTCTCCCTATAAAAACACTTTGTAGTTTGGTCTACTAGTCTTTTGCTAAAGCTTAGAGTCGTCCTGTCGGTATACACACTGTAGTTTGGCCTTTTTAAAAGCTTGTTGTCTCAGCTGCAGCATATATTGTCCTAAAAGCTACTATCCAGCATTAATGGTGCTTTAACAGATGTGGAAGTTACCCATGCACAGATGCACTATTGTAGCTGTGCTCCGGTGCACTAATAAAAAGCCAGAGGGTTCCTCTGCTCTGTATCAGGGACCATAGCGTCAGTGATTGGCAGACTGTACAATAGTTTTTGATTTTCTTTCAATGATCCTGCTAATCATTACCTCATTTACATGTGTGATTCTGTTAAAGCACAAATACAACAGAGGTGTTGTGTTTAAATATGATTCAATAATGATATTTTTCTGTAAGCCAGCATGTTATTAAACTTTGATATTTATGACACTTCTGCAGACAGTGCTTCACTTCATGCAGGGACTGGTCTGCTTCATCAAAGCTGCCCTCCTGGCACCACTCAGGAACCACAGCTGGAGTCCAGACAGCCAGTCCGAGCAGCTTGATACCAAGTAAGACTGAACATCTATTTGCTGGTAGATTCATTTCTGAAAACTGGAGTTTATCTTCTTGTTCAGACATTTAAGAGTTTTCTTTTATTGTGTTTTCCTTCTTTTCAGTTGATGGTGGTTTGCAGAAGGTTTTAGATGATCATAAGCTCATACTGAAGAGGAAATGTGAACGTGTGACTGAAGGAACTCATGAAACCGAAGGAACCCTCCTCAACAGGATCTACACTGAGCTCTACATCACGGAGGGGCGGTCTGAAGATGTGAACACGCAGCATGAGGTGAGGCAGCTTGAGACACCTTCCAAGATCACCCTCGAGGACACTCCAATCAAGTGCCACGAGATCTTTAAAGCCTTACCTGACCAACAAACAGATATCCGAGTTGTTCTGACAAATGGCATTGCTGGAGTTGGGAAGACCTTCTCGGTTCAGAAGTTCACTCTGGACTGGGCAGAGGGCTTGGAAAACCAAGACATTAATGTGGTGGTTCTGCTCTCATTCAGAGAGCTGAACCTGATCAAAGATAAGCAGTACAGTCTTCTGGAGCTGCTCCACGTTTTCCATCCAACATTAGAGAAGGTCACAGCGGAGAACCTGGATCTCTGTAAACTTTTGCTCATCTTTGATGGCCTGGATGAAAGCAGACTTTCACTGGATTTCACCATAACAAAGGTCATATCAGACGTCACACAGAAGTCATCAGTCTGTGAGCTGCTGACAAACCTCATCCAGGGGAATCTGCTTCGCTCGGCTCTCATCTGGATAACTTCCAGACCTGCAGCAGCCAATCTGATCCCTTCTAGATGTGTCGACAGGGTCACAGAAGTACGTGGATTCACAGATGAGCAGAAGGAGGAGTACTTCAGAAAGAGACTGAGTGATGAAGAACGGTCCAGTAGAATCATCTCCCACATCAAGTCATCTAGGAGCCTCCACATCATGTGTAGAATCCCAGTCTTCTGCTGGATCACCGCTACAGTCCTTGAAGACATGTTGACTACAGATCAGAGGGAAGAGCTGCCCAAGACCCTGACGGATATGTACTCACACTTCCTTCTAGTTCAGATGAAGAGAAAGAAGCACAAATATCATGAGGGACAAGAGATGGCACAGGAGGTAGTAGAGGCTGATCGGGAGGTTCTTCTGAAGCTGGGAAGGCTGGCATACGAACATTTAGAGAAAGGAAGCGTCATGTTCTACCAAGAAGACCTGGAGGAGTGTGGTCTGAATCCCGATGAGGCCTTGGTGTATTCAGGGGTTTGTACAGAAATCTTCAAAAGAGAGTGTGTGATCTTCGAGAAACCAGTCTACTGCTTTGTTCATCTGAGCATTCAGGAGTTTCTGGCTGCTGTCTACATGTTTCACTGTTACACCAACAAGGACATAGAGGTGTTGAAGCAATTCCCGGGGACAAAGTGGGACAACAAAAATAGTGACACATATCTGGATGTCTTTCTGAGCAGAGTCATGGACAAGTCCCTCAAAAGTAAAAATGGCCACTTGGATCTGTTTGTTCGCTTCCTTCATGGCCTCACTCTGGAATCCAACCAGAAAATCTTAGGAAGTCTGCTGGGCAAGGCAGAGATCACTCCAGAAATCATCCAGAGAACCGTTAACAGCCTCAAGGAGAAGAAAACAAAAATCGCCCCCGACAGAAGCATCAACATCTTCCAGTGCCTGATAGAGATGAACGACCTCTCGGTATCTCAGGAGATCCAAGAGTTCCTGAGGTCAGAGAACAGATCAGAGAAGGAGCTCTCCGAGATCCACTGCTCAGCTCTGGCCTACATGCTGCAGATGTCAGAGGAGGTTCTTGAGGAGCTTGACTTGAAGAGGTACAAGACATCACTGGAGGGACGACTGAGATTGATCCCAGCTGTGAGGAACTGCAGAAAGGCTCGGTAAGTCCAGGTGGAAATTTCTCTTGGAGTCAAACGTAGTATTTGACTCTACCAGTGTATCATTTGGTACCGATGTGAAACTAACGGCAGTATGTTCAGTAAGTTCAACTCCATAAAAAGTAGACAAAAGCCGTGTCCAAATTCATGGGCTGCATCCTCCTGAGGACCCGGCCTCACAGTCTACGTGGGCCGGGTCCTTCGAAGGCTGGGTAGGCCAGAAGTGAGTGAACTTTAATCTCAGCCAAACCAATTAACTCACGAACAAATAAAAATACTGAAAAAAGCAACTTATGTTTAACCTGAGTAGCGAAAGACCGCGCTGGGTTTGAAAACGAGTTTGCTGTTCTCGCCAGCTCTAGTGAGCCTTGAACTGCTAGCTATTGAGCTGGTGGGTAACAGATGTCTCAGAAAACGTCGGAGCACTTTTACAAATATGTGATATCTTAAAAAACTGAGCTGATATTTGAAGTTTACACAGCTACATTCTCACCTGAAAATATCTTAAAAGTTTATTTTGTGACCCAGAAAGAGTAATAATAAAACTTAGTAACGGCCGCCATTGTTGGAAATTGGAATTGGCTGGGCCGCACTATGAATTCTGGGATATGGTGGGCCACAAAGGATACACTCAACCCATCCTTCAAATCTGGGGAAAAGGAGGACGGATTTGTCGGCCTGATTTGTCGGAGTCTACGACTTTAGACAGCCTTCGTCACATCGCTGTGACGCAATCGGCCAACAAATGCGGCCTCAGGAGGATGCAGCCCATGAATTTGAAGACCCCCAAAGTCACATTAAACGCAGTGGACAATAACATTTTCCTGAAAAAGATGGCCTCTCGATATCTTTGGGAAATCTGATGTGTAGCAGACTGTGGACTGTATGGGGTCTATAAATGTATTGTAACACATTTTGTTGTATGTATATTAATGTGTGTGACAGACTCCCTGGCTGTGAGCTCTCAGATACTCACTGTGAAGTCGTGGCGTCAGCCCTGAAGTCCAGACCCTCCCACCTGGTACATCTGGACCTGAGTGGAAACTACCTGAAATACCCAGGAATGAAGCTGCTGACTGGTGGACTCAAAAGTCACAACTGTAAACTAGAGAGTCTGAAGTCAGTTCCTACTTTAAATTAAAAAAAAAAAAAATTATTCTTCCCCCAAGTGTTCAGTGATCAGATTTTCACAAACATATAATTTAATATCTAATATCTCAATATGTTTATGACTAATACTAATGACTATAGATGCTTATTTGAATCTACAAAGAGTCTGACCTCGTCTTTTCCTGCTGAAGATCGAGCCAAATCCAAGCTCATCAATAACATAGTTTGACTCTCAGGCCTGTTTAATAAAAATTTTGAGATTGTGAACACTAAATGTTCTCAACTAGGAGCTTAAACTGTTTTGTTCTGTGTCCAGTTTGACTTCATGCAGGTTGTCAGAGACCAGCTGTGATTCTCTGGTCTGTGCGCTCATGTCCAACCCCTCCCATCTGACAGAGCTCGACCTGAGTGACAATAAGCTGCAGGATTCAGGAGTGAAGCTGCTTTGTAATTTTCTGGAGAGTCCTGATTGTCAACTGGAGGCTCTGAGGTCAGAGTTTTCTTTTATTCTAGTTTCCTGCTTTTCAGTTGATGGTGGTTTGCAGGATTAGGAAATGTTAACACACTTAAAACCTAAAATACGATTTGATTGTAAAATATGTTATTTAAGTGATCTTTATTTTTCATTTAGGTTGAGGAGCTGCAAATTGTCGTCCTACAGTTGTAGTTTACTGGTCTCTGCTCTCAAGTCCAACCCCTCCAATCTGAGGGAGCTGGACCTGTCTGGAAACAACAAGCTGAAGGATGAAGGGTTGCACTACCTGTGTGATTTTCTGGGCAGTCCAGACTGTAGGCTGGAGATTCTAAAGTCAGTCATCATTTTTCTTTTCCACTTCCTCAGTTTGAATCACTGCAACTATTTGCCTTTATTTTTTTGTTTTTGTGTTGCAGTTTTCTGAACTTCTCTATGTTAAATTTTCTTCTTCTCTGAACACATTATTATCAAACACCTAGGTTGTTTTTCTAAACCTGTTTTATTTTTTATTCAGCCTGTGGGAATGCAGATTGACGAGGTCCAGCTGCCATCCTCTGGTCTTAGCGTTGAAGTCGAACCCCTCCCATTTGAGAGAGCTGGACATGAGAGACAACTACTTGAAGAATTATGACGTGAAAGCACTGATTGATCTTCAGAAGAATCCAGACTACAGACTGGAGATGTTCAGGTCAGTAGGAGGTTGTTATTAATCTGCTTCAGCCTCACCAATGAGCCTATCATAGAAGTCCCCTCCTCATGATCTCCCCTTTATAGATTCTACGGCCTTCAGGGCACTTTTCTAAATATTCAACATTAAATTTATCGGACTTGAGTGAAATCTGCTGAGAAAAAAGACTTGAATCCATTGAATTCAAATTTATTTATGTAGCATCAAATCATAACATCAGTCGCCTCAAGGCACTTTATGTTGTAAGGTAGCAACCCCTCTGTAAGACAAGCATGCGAGTCTTTGAACTCAGCATGCTTACGGAAACATGAGAGCTGTGGAAGCTGCTATGCTGCTATTTATATTGTGGCTCATGTGCTGCATCAGTGACTGACAGCTGACTGCGTGAGTCTCTGTAAACACTAACTTATCACCTCAATTGTTTCTCTTTTCAGGTGGAGTCACCGAAGCGTAAGTGAACGTATGTCCTTGTCTGCAGAGACGCTCTGATTGTGGCCATATTGTTGGGACGTAGACATTCATCCAGCAGCGACTGACAGAAGAGTGAGAGGAAGTGTAGATGATTGTCAGCGCTGCAGAGTGGACTGCACCGTTTTCAGAAACCAAACCTTCTACACAGGCTGCGATACACTGGGATCCTTTCTAAAGCTCCTCCGTTAACCCTCTTTGGAAATCCAGTCTGGGATCAAATCCACCGTTTGTACATTTCTTCAAAAGAATATTCAAATCAATTTTATTTATATAACACCAAATCGCAACAACAGTTGCCTCATGGTGTTTTATATTGTAAAAGGTAAAGACCCTACAATAATACAAAGAGAACAGAGAAAACCCCAACAATCAGATGACCCCCTATGAACAAGCGCTTTGGTGACAGTGGGAAGAAAAACTTCCTTTTAACAGGAAGAAACCTCCAGCAGATCCAGGCTCAGGGAGGGGCGGGGTCCCTGAACACTGTTTATCTTGGCCTATATCCCACCAACATATATATGACTATATTTGTCAATAAATAAACTATTAGCTGCACAAATCCCGCCCAGTAACTCCGGTGCCTTAGTGACTCACTCTCTTCCTGATTGGTGGCATCATTCAATTCCCGCCCAGGAACAGCTGCAGGTCTCAGGACGACTGGGTGACAGTAGACAGATGATGCGATGATTAGAGATGTGATTTTATAGAATGTGCTTGTTGCTGTTGTTTGCATTTAGCTCAGTGATAATGATGGCTGATAAATGTTTACTTATTTCATGGTCTGCGAACCTTTAAAAACAAAAATCTGATCTGACAGAACCTTTAACCTTAAACAAATTTCCCACGCGTGGGACTAATAAAGGTTATTTTATCTTATCTTATGTCAGGTGACTTGGCTGGGATCGCAAACTAAAATAAACCAAATCAGCCCGTCACACATCTTGTATGTAGCGTGGTTCAAAACTGACATAACCAGGTCACCTGTCTCAGCTCCGTTAAGGTGGACTGTCCTGTGGTGCTGTGAACTCTGCAGAGCACTACGATACACAATGTTTACAAACACCAGTATCTGTACTTTTAAATTATTTGCCATTTTTGCCTTTATTGAATAGTGAAGACAGACAGAAAGCAGAGACAGACACAACAAACGGCCACAGGTCAGACTTGAACCCAGGCCACTGCATCTGTACTTTCACTTTCACTGTTTTTTACTGTTAAAGTACAAAGTTATCTGCACTCTCCCACCAGAGTAAATTTATTTTTGCAATAAGAGTTAAATGTAAACATAATAAGAAAGAAAACAGTAAGCGTAGTAGCAGAAATGTGCTCACAGTGCTGCAGTATTTAACAGGGCCCACCTGTTATAAATGCCAAAAGCTGGGTTGTGTGGAAGCTTGTTCCTGCCACTGAAAAAACTTGTTTTCCACATCAGTAAGTCATAGTTTCAGTTTACGGTTCGAGTTCAAAGTGTTTTTGTTGTCAGTTTATAATTTTCTAACTGTTTCGAGTCTGAGCCCAACCTGAACTGTATTTTCAAGTTTGATAATAACCTGAAAATTTGACTTACAGATGGAAAAAAGGGAGGAAACACACGTCTTTTTTTCTTGCTATTGTTGTTGTTTTGTCTTTCACTGATGTTAAAATAACCGTTACCACATAGTCACCTACTGACTGTTTTATTGTATTACCTCTGACAACCTGTTTTGTGTCTCTTTGTTTCTTGATGCTTGTTTGTGCCTTCAATACAAAAATGTTAAAATACACGAGACAGCCCAGACTCAATAACCCTCATCCACAAATAAACTTTTCTAGACTATCAAATTCAGATTAATAGTGCTCCCAATGGGACTACACATAACAACAGCAGAAAAAACAAACCCATCATCAGTAAAGAAAGAACATCTGGTTGCTGTAGTTGGGTTTGGCTGCAAGATAAAACTGTTTTCATTAGATTTAAAGCCATTTTCGATAACATGCATTATTATTGCTGTAAAAAATGTGCACAAAAAGTCACGAGCAGCTGCTGGATGGAGGAAAATATTATGAGCTCTACCTGATTAACATCTAACCTAAAGAAGAAAAAAATTGGCTTTGGCTTCACCTGCTGTGGGGATGCCAACAGCTCGTCTCCTGTCGTCTTTCACCAACATGGTGCTACAGACTAAAGTTAGAAACACAGCTTGCGTCAGAAGATGCTTGACCAGTAGCAGAGGCAGCGAGTCCTGTTTGCTGAGGTGATGGTGGAATCAGCCGGTCGAGCAGGAAGACTCCTGCATAAAAAAAGCTCCAGGCGTCACACGAGGCCTCCGTAAACAGGCTGTTAAAAAAAGCTGTTTTTAAAACGGGAAACAACCTTATTTATGGGAATGCAGCCAAATGTCTACTTTATATTTATCTTTGTAGTTTTTACAGCATTTAAGTGCAAAGCATAAATGCATGTTTACACTACACCTGTCATTTGAATAAAAAATAACTTGAGACAGAAAATACGGGAAAAAGTTTTGAACTTTGTGAAAGAGTCAGACTTCACAGGACGTGAACCTCAGGAGCGTTTTATTGTGAAAAGATGCAATATTTAGCTTATCTCAACTGAAATCAGGTTTTTATTCAGAATGTTTGATTTTGAAGTATGTGAACTGTTTTGTTGTTTGTTGGCTTTTTGTCTGCTTGTTGTTCTCAATTAATTTTTTTTACTAAAGAAATGTTTTTAAAAACTTGCAAAATAAAAAAAACTGACACATGAATCACCTTGTAAACCCCCTTCAGTATAAAAACTCATCCACACTCACTTTCCAGGGTAAAAATGTGAGCAGAAAACAGCAGCGCTAAGAATCAGTGGCATTTCCCTTTAATGCAGTGTTGCAGGAAAAAAATGAAATCACCACAGCAAAGAACAAAAAAGCAAAAAATTAACACAGCAAACCTGCAATTTCAATTAAAAAGAAGAAAAACTAAAACGCTCCATAAAACAGCTCGTTGTGCAGCAAACTCAGCTCATATTCGAATGATTTTCACCTGCTGTAACATAAAAAGTACAGTTATGACAGGATGAGTTTAAAATAACATTTTCGGCTCCTGAAACGAGTGAGCTCTGTGGCACTTTAATTACACACGGCCGGCTCTTTAAAAGCCACATTTTAGACTCGAACAGAGTTTTATGTTTGATTTAGTGTTGATGCATATTTCAGTACAAACTTTACAAACGCAGTTAAGACTGTAACATTTCATTGGTTTCCAATGTGTGGCCAGAGTCCACTAAAAGAGTCCTACATTGAGTATAGAGGGACCATGTAATGATAATTATCTGTATTCCTGTTACACAAAGTTATGTGTATTTTAAAGTTTTTGGGTCTTTTTAAATATTTGTATCTTTTTCCGCCTTGGAAAGCTCCTTCACAAAAGGTTTAACACACACTCAACGAAAAAGGCAAATGAACAGCTTTGAATCTGTCTTCTGTCGTAACCTCTTGAGGTCAGCTGACCAGTAATATATAAAAATAACGCACACCACGTGAAGTGAAAGGTTCAAACTTTTGGCATTTTCACTCCACAAACAGCTTAAATGTCTTAGTGTTTGTGGTGTTTCCTTTGTTTGCTGGTCCAGAGTGTTTGATCCTTTTATTTTAGCACCTGTAAAAGAAGATCATGTGATGTGACTGAAAGCTTGGGTCTGTTTGTGTCGGCTATATTTTTCTGTAACACTTCATGAAATGGGAGTTACACCTGGAAAGTTTCTGTAATAACGCCTCCAAACGACTGCGTTTATGTTTGGAAAATTCAGTTTTAGTCCAAGAGTTCAATTTTTAGAAAACTGCACCAGATTGGCTGTAACCTGCTCTGATGTCTCAAACTTGGACTGTTTGCCCTTTTTTCTAGCTGACTTTTACCCAGTTTACCAAAACTGTGCTGATACTTAATCTAGAACCAGATCTGAGGTTGTCTGTCAACAAAAAACAACTGCTACCGGTACCTAAAGGCTGGCAAAGGGGGGTAAGGTGCCACAAAGGCCCTTGGGCCTCCTCCTGGTAGGACATGCCTGAAACACGTCACCTAGGAGACCCCTGGAGGCATCCCAGTTTAGATATATTCATTTTATTGATGTACAGTAGTAGCTACCTGCTGGTTGTAGGGGGCCATGTAAGTACAGTCCTGCTATTTGTGAAGGGAAGCACCTTGTCGGGCAGGGATAGCTCAGTAGGTAGAGTGGTGGCCCCATGATCGGAAGGTCGGGGGTTCGATTCCCCTGAACAGCTACCCTGAGGTACCCCTGAGCAAGGTACCGTCCCTACACACTGCTCCCCGGGCGCCCAATGGCTGCCCACTGCTTCACTGAGTGAATGGGTTAAATGCAGAGAGGAATTTCCCCACGGGGATCAATAAAGTACACTTTCTTTCTTGTTTGAGAAAATGAGCGCTTGAGCGCGTAAACTTAACCCTGAAAC